TTTTAAGACTAAATGAAATTCAAAAGGCGGAGATCAGTCATCAAAACGGAGAGGGTAATGGAGGCAAGAGATTCAGGTTCGATCTGTGGCATTTTTAGTTTAAAGGCACTTCAATAGCAGAGCTAGAAAATAATGTAGGGATGTGTTTTTAATCAGATTAGTGGCTCTCCCACATTCTACTCAGCTGTAAATCTCACAACTTTCCCTTTTGGATATGCTAGCCAGGGCTGCTTGGAATCAACATTTAACTTCACTAGGAAACCACACAAGTTGTCCACTCCATAGTTAAAGCATTATCAAGTTACTTTATACAATGAAATACCTTTCTCCACCTCACAGGGGTGGATTTTAGGGTGTTTTTCTGTTTCTTGCCTGTTGAAGGGGTTTGCTTTTGTGTGTGCATTGACAATTTCACTCGCTGTTACTGGATTTCCCACCCAATTCCTCATAGGCTGAAAGTCCTTGACATTTTTACTATATTTTTACTACATAGTTCTGGGTACATTTCCCCAGCAGTGTCCAATGAGCATTGTCTGTGAATCTCAACACCCATTGGACACACAAACTAACTCCTACCACAAATAAATGTTTTCTTGATTTCAAACTCACGACTTTGTTGTACTTTATTATACTTTAAGGTGTATGCGATTTTGAGTGTTTGCCAGAAATGTGGGACACAAAATTGAGAATAACTTGAACTTGAAAGGAAAAAAAAAAAACGAACAGACTCCTCCTCTCCCCTGTGATGTTAGAGCTCCTACAGGGCTAAATTCAATGTTAATTCTAACTAGAACTGGCCCACAGGAATCCATCGAACCTTCGCTACTTTTGACCACGGGAAGAAATCTAGAACTGCTCCATATTTTGTTGGATCACAATTCTTAGCATATTTGTAATGCATTTTAGCTACTCAGTTTTTTTATTACGTTGGTAAATGTGCATAATGTAACATATTATATTTAAGTTCTTACTTTTTGGTTATTGTTGTTAGTCATTCTAAGTTTATATTGTTTTATTTATTGTGTTGATTGATTTCTTGTTTGTATGTTTTATTATGGCATTGAATGTTTGCCACTTTTACTGGAAACTTCCCCGAGTCCCCTCGGGGAGACAGGGCGGGTTACAAATAAAGTCTTATTATTATACTAGACGTCCCCTACCACGCGTTGCTGTGGCCTAGTCTGTGTATATGTGTGTTGTGTGTATATATACAATACTTCCCAGAATAATGTTTCCAAAGAACTTTGTCCTCCAAAGCACTTTACATTTAGGTCTGCTTGTATGTTTTCCACAAATGCCACTTTCACCTTTTCGCCCATGCCCAGGGATTAGTTCCAATTTTAACTTTACATTTGGCCTACCCACAATTTTAATTGTGTGTTGTCTTATTGTTAATTGTTACATTTTTTAAAATTGTTTATGTTTTTATTTTAATTGCTTGTATTGTTATTATTGCTTGTATTGTTGTATCTGGGCTCGGCCTCATGTAAGCCGCACCGAGTCCCTTGGGGAGATGGTAGCGGGGTACAAATAAAGTGTTGTTGTTGTTATTATTATTATTATTATTATTATTATTATTATCATATAGTTGTGTATATATATGTGGTTTTGCGCATGTGTTGTAATGTATTTTTTATTTTTTAGCTTTTTAAGTTCCTTCTGATGTATTTTTCAGTGTGTTTATGAGTGATGGTCACTCGTTGGCCTGATAGGTGAATTGTGTCCAAATTTTGTGTCAATTCGTCCAGTGGTTTTTGAATTATGTTAATCCCATAAATGAACATTACATTTTGTTTATATAGACTAGCCGACCCCTACCACGTGTTGCTGTGGCCTAGTCTCTGTATATATGGTTTTTTCTGTGTATATATGTGTGTGTTTGTGTATATATATGTGGTTTTGCGCATGTGTTGTAATGTATTTTTAAAAACTTTTTGGCTTTTTAAGTTCCTTCTGATGTGTTTTTCAGTGTGTTTATGAGTGATGGTCACTCGTTGGCCTGATAGGTGTATTGTGTCCAAATTTGGTGTCAATTTGTCCAGTGGTTTTTGAGTTATGTAAATCCACAAACAAACATTACATTTTTATTTATATAGATCAGGGGTCCTCAAACTTTTTAAACAGAGGGCCTGGTCACAGTCCTTCAAACTGTTGGAGGGCCGGATTATAATTTGAAAAAAAGCAAACACCCATGAATGAATTCCTATGGACACTCCACATATCTTATTTGTAGTGCAAAAAAACACTTAAATGCAATACAATAATTAAAATGAAGAACAATTTAAACAAATATAAACATTATTATTTCAATGGGAAGTGTGGGCCTGCTTTTGGCTGATGAGATAGGATTGATGTTGTTGTTGTGTGCTTTCAAGTCGTTTCAGACTTAGGTTGACCCTGAGTGAAGGCCAGGTAATTGACCTTGGAGGGCCGAATACGGCACCCGGGCCTTAGTTTGAGGATTCCTGGTGTATTGTGTCCAGATTTGGTGTGAATTTGTCCAGTGGTTTTTGAGTTATGTAAATCCCACGAATGAACACTACATTTTATTTATATAGATTATTATAGGCCTCCACTGTTAGCTACGGACCCACTGCCAAGACCTTACACTTGGAAAGTAATCCTACTCAAACACAAAATGATCGCCGATGATGATGACACACACCCTGAAAGATAGAACATTTTCAACAAGGGTGTACATGAAGCACACCTTTTTAGTGCTGATTGTGTTTGCGTTTGAATAGGTGCATATTTGTGTATTTTAAATTGAATACAAATACAAAGATAGAACATTTTCAACAAGGGTGTAAATGAAGCACACTTTTTTTTAGTGCTGGTTGTGTTTGTGTTTGAATATTTGTGTATTTTAAATTGTATACAAATACAAAGATAGAACATTTTCAACAAGAGTGTAAATGAAGCACACTTTTTTTAGTGCTGATTGTGTTTGTGTTTGAATAGGTGCATATTTGTGTATTTTAAATTGTATACAAATACAAAGATAGAATATTTTCAACAAGGGTGTAAATGAAGCACACTTTTTTTTTTAGTGCTGATTGTGTTTGTGTTTGAATAGGTGCATATTTGTGTATTTTAAATTGTATAAAAATACTTTTATGTCAAGCTGTTTTGACTTTGGGGAGAAGCTTCAAACAAGCTTCAATTAGTCCAACGTTCGGCAGCCATGATGCTAACAGGAGCGGAGCACAGGGAGCACACAACCCCCCTGTTGCGCCAGCTCAATTGGCTACCGATCTGCTACCGGGCTCAATTCAAAGTGCTGGCACTGGCCTATAAAGCCCTAAACGGTTCCGGCCCAAGCTACCTTTCCGACCGTATCTCGGCCTATGAACCCACCAAGACTTTGAGATCTTCCGGGGAGGCCCTGCTCTCGATCCCGCCTGCTTCACAAGTACGGCTGGCGGGGACGAGGGATAGGGCCTTCTTGGTGGTGGCCCCTCGGCTGTGGAACGCCCTTCCCACGGATATTAGACTAGCACCATCTTTAATGGTATTCCGCAAAAAAGTGAAGACCTGGCTGTTTGAACAGGCGTTCGCATAGTTACTGCAATAAGTGTAATGATCATAGGAATGGAACAATGGATGACGAATCTGGATCATGTTTTTAGTGATGAGACGCTAGTGATGGTTATTGTAGTTAGTTGTTATTCATTGTATAATGTGTTGTTGATTGTTTTATACTGTATTATTGCTGCATTGAATTTTTGCTGTTCTTGTTCTTGTTGTTAACCGCTGTGAGTCGCCTACGGGCTGAGAACAGCGGTATACAAATAAAGTAAATAAAATAATAAATAAATATAATAATCGACGTTGGTGTGTGCTGAACCACCAAAAAGCAAAAATGTCCCCCTCTGACCCACACAGATCAGCAAATCTGGGAGTATTTCAGGATTCTGTTTATGGGATGCACCCCCTAGACCAGTGGTTCTCAACCTGTGGGTCCCCAGGTGTTTTGGCCTACAGCTCCCAGAAATCTCAGCCAGTTTACTAGTTGTTAGGATCATAGAATCATAGAATCAAAGAGTTGGAAGAGACCTCATGGGCCATCCAGTCCAACCCCCTGCCAAGAAGCAGGAGTATTGCATTCAAATCACCCCTGACAGATGGCCATCCAGCCTCTGTTAAAAGCTTCCAAAGAAGGAGCCTCCACCACACTCCGGGGCAGAGAGTTCCACTGCTGAACGGCTCTCACAGTCAGGAAGTTCTTCCTATGTTCAGATGGAATCTCCTCTCTTGTAGTTTGAAGCCATTGTTCCGCGTCCTAGTCTCCAAGGAAGCAGAAAACAAGCTTGCTCCCTCCTCCCTGTGGCTTCCTCTCACATATTTATACATAGCTATCATATCTCCTCTCAGCCTTCTCTTCTTCAGGCTAAACATGCCCAGTTCCCTAAGCCGCTCCTCATAGGGCTTGTTCTCCAGACCCTTGATCATTTTAGTCGCCCTCCTCTGGACACATTCCAGCTTGTCAATATCTCTCTTGAATTGTGGTGCCCAGAATTGGACACAATATTCCATGTGGTCTAACCAAAGCAGAATAGAGGGGTAGCATTACTTCCTTAGATCTAGACACTATGCGCCTATTGATGCAGGCCAAAATCCCATTGGCTTTTTTTGCAGCAAGGATCTCTGGGAGTTGAAGGCCAAAACATCTGGGGACCCACATGTTGAGAACCACTGCCCTAGAGTCAAAGGCATGGGCAAACTGCGGCCCTCCATGTGTTTTGGACTTCAACTCCTCCAATTCCTAACAAGCTATTAGGAATTGTGGGAGTTGAAGTGCAAAACACCTGGAGGAACGAAGTTTGCCCATGCTTGCCCCTTCTTTATCATCCTCGCCTGGACCTAGGTGTGTGCGGCCTACCACTGGCGCTCTACCTGAGCAGGAGGCCCCTTCGCGTCACTTCCGCCCTGGGCCTTCAGCAGCGGAGGGCTCTCCCTCTGCCTGGCCGGGCTCCTTCCTTTCTCCCCTCCTCACTCACCTGCTCTTTGGCCGCGGGGGGGTGTCGGCCCCACAGGGGAAGGGGCGCCCCCTCCCCCCTCTGCCCTCTCCCGCCCCGCAGCAAAGGCAGGCGCAGCAGCAGGTGCCGCCGCCATGACTGCGGGAGCGGAGCGGAGCAGGCCCCGCCCACTACGCGCGAGAGGCCGGAGAGGCGACGCAGGAACCCGGATGCAGGAAGTCGCAGCCGCTCTCCCTCGGATTGCGCAACAGGTCTACTTTCAAACCGCCTCCTCACCACTTTTCTCATTGGTGGGGGGCTTCCATCAGTCACCGCGCGGTGTCCAATCAGCGGTGTCTCCTCGCTCTGTGCTACCGCCTCGGATTCTATTTGCAGCAAGGCTCACTTTGCTTTGGGAGGCTGTGCTTTGGGAGTGGGATTTGGGAAACGTCTGAGTAAATGGATTGGCTTTTCTTGTAACGGGGGTACGAGAGCTAGGATTGAAATGTAGTTCCAATGTATGCCTCACTATACAATTTTACAGTAATAATAATAATAATAATGATGACTAGCTTTACCCGCCACGCGTTGCTGTGGCCAGCCTTCTCTCCCTCTTTCTCTGCTTCTTTCACTCCTTCCTTCATTATTTATTTATTTATTTACTTTGCTTATATACCGCTGTATCTCAAGCCCGAAGGCGACTCACAGCGGTTCACAAACAGTAAAAACAGTAGAAACAGCAGTGGTTCCATACAACATATAACAATTGACTTAACACATTATCCATAAATTACCAATAAGCAATTACAATGCACAATTATTACAAAAAACAACCGTACCCAATCTTCTCATCATCCAAGCGTAGTCCAGGTTCGTCGTCCATTGTTCCATTCCTATGTTCCATTACCAGATTGCACTAAATTACTCAAACGCCTGCACAAACATCCAGGTCTTCACCTTTTTGCGGAATACCATTAGAGATGGTGCTAGTCTAATGTCCGTGGGAAGGGCGTTCCACAGCCGAGGAGCCACCACCGAGAAGGCCCTATCTCTCGTCCCCGCCAGCCGAGCTTGAGAAGCAGGCGGGATCGAGAGCAGGGTCTCCCCGGAAGATCTCAAAGTCCTGGTGGTTCATAGGCAGAGATGCGGTCGGATAGGTAGCTTGGGCCGGAACCGTTTAGGGCTTTAAAGGCCAACGCCAGCACTTTGAATTCAGCCCGGTAGCAGATCGGTAGCCAGTGGAGTTGGCGCAACAGGGGGGTTGTATGCTCCCTGCGCTCCGCTCCTGTTAAAATCATGGCTGCCGAGCGTTGGACTAGTTGGAGCTTCCGAGCTGTCTTCAAAGGCAACCCCACGTAGAGAGCGTTGCAGTAGTCTAAACGGGATGTAACCAGAGCTTGGACTACCGTGGCCAAGTCAGACTTCCCAAGGTACGGGCGCAGCTGGCGCACAAGCTTTAGCTGTGCAAATGCTCCCCTGGTCACCGCCGAAACCTGGGGTTCCAGGCTCAGCGATGAGTCCAGGGTAACACCCAAGCTGCGAACCTGCGTCTTCAGGGGGAGTGCGGCCCCATCCAACACAGGCTGTAACCCTATGCCCTGTTCGGCCTTGCGACTGACCAGGAGGACCTCTGTCTTGTCTGGATTCAATTTCAATTTGTTCGCCCTCATCCAGACCGTCACAGCCGCCATTCTGTTTTCTTCTTTCCTTTCTTCCTTCTCTACCTGTTTACTTCCTTCCTTAGCTGTTTGCTTTCATCCTTCCTTCTCCTTATTTCTTTCCTTCCCTGCGTCTTTCTCTCCTTCTTTCTCTTTTTCCTTTGCTGCGTCTTTCCTCCCTTCCCTTTTTTCTTTCCTTCTCTCCTCCTTCCTTCTGTACCTCTTTCCTTCCTCCTCCCTTTTTCTTTTCCTTCCTCTTTGTCTCCTTTCTTCCCTCTCTTTCTCTTTCCTTCCTTCCTTCGCTCTGTAGTTCCATACTTCCTTTTCTTTCTTTCTTTCCTTCCCTCCCTTTCTCTTCTTCATTTGCTTTCTTTCCTCCCTTGCCTTTTCTTCTGTCCTTTCTTCCTTCCTTTCCTTTGTTCCTACACTTTCCCTTCCGCTCCTTTCTTCTTCCTTCCTTCCTTTCTCCCTTCTTTCCCATGCTCCTACTCTCTCTTCTTTCTTTCCTACCTTTCTTCCCTCATATACTTTCCCAACTTCTTCCTTCCTTTTTTCATACACCTTCCCTTCCCCTTCCCTCCTTTTGTTTATTTCCTACCTTTCTTCTCTGATATACCTGCCTTCCTTCCTTCCTTCCTTCCTTCCTCCTACACCTTCCCTTCCCCTTGCCACTTTTCTTCCTTCTTTCTTTCCTTCCTTCTTTCCTTCCTTCCTTATTTATTTATTTACTTATTTACCTTACTTATATACCGCTGTTCTCAGCCCGAAGGCGACTCACAGCGGTTCACAACAAATACAAACAGCAAAAATTCAGTGCTACAGTATAGAAACAGTTAACAACCTAACACATTACACAATTAATAAACAGTTACTACAATACCCAGTCGTCTCGTCATCAAAAACATGTTCCAGATTCGTCATCCATTGTTCCATTCCAGTGTTCATTAACCAATCATTGCACTAATTATTCGAACGCCTGCTCAAACAGCCAGGTCTTCACCTTTTTGCGGAATACCATTAGAGATGGTGCTAGTCTAATGTCCGTAGGAAGGGCGTTCCACAGCCGAGGAGTCACCACTGAGAAGGCCCTATCTCTCGTCCCCGCCAGCCGAGCTTGAGAAGCAGGCGGGATCGAGAGCAGGGTCTCCCTGGAAGATCTCAAAGTCCTGGTGGGTTCATAGGCAGAGATGCGGTCAGATAGGTAGCTTGGGCCGGAACCGTTTAGGGCTTTAAAGGCCAACGCCAGCACTTTGAATTCAGCCCGGTAGCAGATCGGTAGCCAGTGGAGTTGGCTTCCTTCCTTCCTATTTACACCCCTTCCCCTCATTTCCGTCCTTCCTTCCCTCACCCGCTTCCTTCCCTCCTTCCTGTTCCTCATCGTCCCCGATGGCGGCGTCCTTCCTTCCCTGGAGCCAGACGCCGGTGTGCGGGGGCGGCCTGGGCCGGGCGTGGCGGAGGCCGAAGGGCTGTCCTCGGGAGAGGCGGGTCGCGGCCTCTCCCGGGCGGGCCACGAAGGTGCGCAGCAGGGGCCTCCCGGGCAGCCTCCGCTGGTCCAGCCCCGGGAAGGCCACCAGCTGTCCGGGCCCGTGGGAGGTGGACAGCCCCCCGCACCGCACGTGCACCAGGCCGGCCCCCAGCGCGCACAGGCGGGCGAGCTCCCACTCCCAGGCCGGGGCTTCAGCGTCGACGCCTAGGCCGCGCTCGGTTTGGCATGGGGGAAGGGGCGGGGCGGCGATGGGAGGGGGCGCGGCTTGTACGGAGGGGAAGTGGTGCGGCCATGTGCGTGCGCCGGGTGACTTGCACCGGGCCTCCTCTGCGCATGCTCCATTTGGTTGTGTAATTGTGAGTTTGTTCTTATGTTTTTCTTTTAGTTGTGATGAGTGTTCTGCATACCTTGTAGTTTGAGGTATGCGTACGCCAAGTTTGGTAATTTTTCATCCGGGGGTTTTCGCGTTTTTCGGCCCCTAACGACGCCCTTTTGGATTTTATATATATAGATGATGATAATAGTGATCGGCACACTGGGTGCAGTGCCTCAAGACTTTGGCCTGCACTTAAATACAATAGGCGCTGACAAAATTACTACCTACCAGCTTCAGAATTTATTTATTTACAGTATTTGTATACCACTTTTCTCACCTCGAGGGGGATTCAAAGCGGTTTAGACATAAGTAATGGCAAAAATTCAATGCCAGTACAAACAATTACAATTACAGTTAGACATAAATTAAATTTAAAAATACATCCATGAGCAATAAAACAATAATTAAAATGAAGAAGTCAGAGAAGTCAGCCATAGCAGAGCACCTGATGAACCAACCTGGACACAGCATTTTATTTGAGAACACAGAAATGCTGGACCACTCTCACAACCACCATGTCACACTACACAAAGAAGCCATTGAAATCCACAAGCATGTGGACAATTTCAACAGAAAGGAAGAAACCATGAAAACGAACAAAATCTGGCTACCAGTATTAAAAAACTCAAAAATTGCAACAGCAAAGCAACAGAGAGTAAACAATCAGTCACGTCAAATCACCTCTCAAAGAAAGATTCCCCCAGGTACTTCCAAGCCATTAAATGCTAATCAAGGTGGTCAGTTGAAACATTCACACCTAGCTCCAGCAGACAAAAGTCCTTTGTCCCACCCTGGTCTTTCCACAGATATATAAACCAATTTTCCTACTTCCAACAGACCTCACTACCTCTGAGGATGCTTGCCATAGATGCAGGCAAAACGTCAGGAGAAAATGCCTCTAGAACATGGCCATATAGCCCGGAAAACCTACAACAACCCAGTGATTCCGGCCATGAAAGCCTTCAACAATACAATCATTAAAATAATAAAACAGTCTAGTCTGTCGAATCGCCATTTCAGTCATTGTCTTTCTGAAATGCTGCATACATTTACTTCTACTGTCCGAAGGCCTGGTCCCAAAACCATGATTTTAATTTTTTTCTAAAAGCTAGGAGGGAGGGAGCAGATCTTACCTCATTTGGAAGTGTGTTCCATAGGCAGGGGGCCACAGCCAAGAAGGCCCTGTCTCTCGTCCCCGCCAAGCGCATCTGTGATGTTGACAGGAGCGAGAGCATGCCTCACCGGAAGATCTTCGATTACGAGGTGGGACGTAGGGGTGGATGTGTTCGGACAAGTAAGCTGGGCCAAAACCGTATAGAGAAGGCCATTTTACTGGGATCTGCATGCATTATTTATCTATTTCGTTATTTCAGATATTTCTATCCCGCCCTTCTCCCCACAAGGGGGACTCAGAGCGGCCTTACATAAGCATAACCCATAAAAATACAATCTATATAAATAAAAATGTAATATTCGTTTGTGGGATTAACATAACTCAGAAACCACTGGACGAACCGACACGAAATTTTGAGGCAATACACCTTACAGTTCAACAAGTGTTCATTATCCCTAAAAATACAAAAAAACCTTCAGCAGAACTGACTTAAAAAACCCCAAATCCACCATATATATATATATATACACACACATATACACATGCACACATACATGCAC